TTTTTTTTTTTTTAATATAGTTGAGTACTATCCAATCATCCACTGCTTAACATTCTTTTAGGCCATTCATTGCTCATGGCTGAATATACACACATGCACAAGCATAGGAGTCGCTCATCTAAAGATCGAGCGTAAAATTTATTCTATTTTTTGAACATCGGCTAAAAGTTCAATATTGCAGCTGAATGGTGGAAATCAGATACCGAAGATGTGATCAACGAGGCTCTAAAATCCGGTTCGGCGCCAAATGTATCTGATGCTCACACAATCAATGGCTTTCCTGGACTAGTTCCAAATTGTTCATCTACAAGTAATAAAACAAAATTTCAATTTCTTAACATATCTATGAATGTACAAAATCTTCAAAAATTTAATGATTCCAATCAAAATTTGATGATGCAGGGGGCTACACATTGAACGTTAAGCCAGGAAAAAGCTACATGCTAAGAGTAGTCAATGCCGCACTCAATGAAGAACTTTTTTTCAAGATTGCAGGGCACAAGATGACAGTAGTAGAAGTTGATGCTACATATGTTAAACCTTTCAAAACCGACACGATTCTGGTTGCCCCCGGCCAAACCACCAATGTCATCCTGGAGGCAGACAAGGGCGCGGGGAGGTACCTGGTAGCGGCTGCCACCTTCATGGACACTCCAGTGGTGGCCATCGACAATTTGACAGCAACTGCCATGCTTCATTATACCGGAAAACTTTCTAGCACCACAACAATGTTAACTACTCCTCCACCTCGAAATGCCACGCTAGTAGCCAACAATTTCACAGACTCTCTCAAAAGCCTAAATTCGAAAAAATATCCTGCCAAAGTGCCACTAACAGTTGATCGTTCTCTGTTATTTACTGTCGGGCTTGCAGTTAATCCATGTCCCACATGCAAAGCCGGGAATGGAAGCCGTGTTGTGGCCGATATAAACAATGTCACATTTGTAATGCCAAATATTGCTCTTCTGCAGGCACATTACTTCAAGATTAAAGGAGTTTTCACCACCGATTTCCCTGGGAATCCTCCAAGTACCTTTAATTATACCGGCAATCCTCCAGCAAATTTACAGAGTACAAATGGAACAAAGCTTTATAGGCTACCTTACAATGCAACAGTTCAAGTGGTTTTGCAAGATACTGGTATGATTGCACCTGAGAACCATCCTGTTCATCTACATGGCTTCAATTTCTTTTCTGTTGGTAGGGGACTAGGAAATTTCAATCCAAAAACTGATCCCAAGAAATTCAATCTTGTCGACCCTGTTGAAAGAAACACGATCGGAGTACCATCTGGAGGATGGGTTGCTATAAGATTCCGTGCTGATAATCCAGGTATATCAATAAACTAATCAACACTTTTGGTATTTAGTATTTGACACGACTCAACTGTATAATGAATATAAGATTCCTTCGACCCCATCTCACTCTAATTTTGTGTAATTTCGCAGGGGTATGGTTTATGCATTGCCATTTGGAAGTGCATACAACATGGGGACTAAAAATGGCTTTCTTGGTGGACAATGGACAAGGCCCTAATGAGTCCGTTCTGCCACCTCCTAAGGATCTTCCAAAATGTTAAATTTCGACGCGGATTATGAGTTTCGAGAATTCATAATTGAAGAGTAATCTTCGAGTGTTTGAAAGAGAGGAAAAGGGCAAATGGAACATCAATGAAGAAGCAAACAGGAAAGGATTGAGTTAATAAAACAATTAGTTGAGTGCAGAGAGTTGAGATTCATTTGTTTCTTGAGTAAAGAAAATTTTGCAAAGCAGAGGATAATAATTAAATGTTGTACCATTTGTGATCTAATTTACAAGAATTCCACTACATTTGCTAAGAAAGAGATCATGTCTTGTTTTAATACCGTGTTTATGAACATGATTGTGTCATTGTTTAAAGGCTCGACTCTCAGAGTAAAGTGGATTAGACAATACAAATCCGATATGCCTATATAATTGGGTAGTGCTTAGGCCTACCATGATCCAACTCAAGCTACCAAAACAAGGGTCGAGCTAATCGGGCACGCCCACTCGACAGTCTAGACTGGACAGCTATTACTAATCTTGAAAAGTGGAGCACTCCCACTAGCTTTGGACAAACAAAAATGGTTAAAAGCTATAATTATGCAAACTAGTGTGGCTTTTCTTGCAACCCCTGTTGAATGGACATTTGATGCTCTAAAATGCTCATTCGAGGCACTTTTTATTGCGATTATCTTATCACTAAACTATACATTTTGCCCTATCAAACCCACTTAACATCAAAAGAAATTACCTTGACAAAGAATAATAATCCTTTATTTTTATAATTGATTAATTCTACAAGGAATTATTGGACAAGTGGACCAAAAATTGTTAGTTAAATTTTTTAGGGATGATTAGTTATTTTTTCCTTCCTTTTCTAGAAGTGTAGTATCATTAAGTACTCTATATACTATAAAGAATACTTATTTGCTTGAATTTTAGTAATTTAAATTAATTAAATTTTAATACTTTAAAATTATTCTTAAATAAATTTCTAAAACTTTCAATTTTATAACATTTTTATTACTTTAAATTATTTTTATGAAGTATATTTTCTTTTAAATATTTAAAATTAATATTTAAAGTTATTTATCGAAATAATAATGGCACTTGACTTATATCATTACTCAGATTTATATAATTTAACTTTTTTATATACATCTTGCCCAGTTACTCTTAATCAGGTTAACTACTTTTATAGGGATAGATTATGAGTTTGTTTCTCTCTTTTGCTACTTTATAAATAAATAAAGCAAAATAGCTATATTAGCTAGTGAATAAAAAAATAATTTTTAAAGTATTTTTATTTTAGACAAAGTAAACAAATGGACCACAATTTATAAAGGTTGAACCCCAATCTTGA